CAATATCTTCCAATTTGTCAGCATCATCATCATCTTTTCCTTCCCTTCCTCATCATCCATATCAGGAACCACATAGTACTGCGTTGGCCAAAAGTATCCTTGATGACCTCTCCTAACTCATCTGCATGCTTATCAGAATTGCCTGTAAACCAGATGCTATAGCTTGTATCTTGATGTCCCTCCTAAAGCCTCATTCAATCGTAGGTGGGGCTTTTTGGAGGTGGCTGCATTGAGGGTGTGTGATTCTGGGATTAAGTGTGTGATGCCGGGGTTAAGGATGACCAACCCTGGGTTTGGGTGGCACCACCCAAAAGGTGGGATGGAATATAAAGGCACACAGCTGCTGGTTCTGCTGTTTTGCTACCTTCTGACTGCTTTGCCATGGACTCTTTCTCCTTTGGGATGCCTCTCTGCCTTGGAGCCAGCTGACTATGGACTGAAACCTCTATGAACTATGAGATGAAATAAACCTTTCCTCCTTTAACTTTTGAGTGTTGGGAATTTTGTCTCAGCAACAAGAAAAGCAATTAAGACTTCAGGTAAAGAAGCTCTTGGGTTCTTCATGCTGCCTTTTCCTACCGGCTTTATCCTGTGCTTGACTTGAATGGTTGGTTCACCTTGAACACTCTGTCAAATCCTTTCCAGATTTCCATTTCATTTCAGTGGACTTTGAAGATAGACCACCACTCTCATTCAGATGAAATTTTTTGGAGAGAACTTTCTTTTCTTCTTTTTGTGTCAGGATTTCATAACTTTCATTATGTAGTTCAGCTGCTCTTGAACTCACTGTGTAGCACAGGTTGGCCTTGAACTCATGGCAATCCTCCTGCTTCAGCCTCCCAAGTGCTGGGACTACAGGTGTGTACCACCATACATGGTGAAAACTTTTTCTTTTCTTTTTGTCTTTTTGACTCACTGCAGTTCAGGCTGGCCTTGAGCTCACTTTGTGGCCCAGGCTGTCCTTGAACTTGCAAGATTCCTCCTGCTTCAGCATGTGCGCCACCACGCTCGGCTGAGAACTTTGTTTTCAAAGTAAGGATTTTCACAAAAGTAAAATTCTATTCTGTACCATGATTATATAGCTTCAAATTCTGGCACTTCAATTCTGGTCAAATAATGCAGTCGCTCTTCATCTTTCTCTCCAAGCGGTGCAGACACTTGTGGGTGGTTAACAAATGCTATTTCCAAAAATGAACAAACAAATAAATGTTGTTTCCACAAAATGTGGCATTTTGGCGATCAATTCTGACCTCTTTTGAAAAAATGGTTGGGACAGTCTGTTATATTTCTGTTTTACTTTCAGTATCTCCTCACTGGCTTGTTCATTAAGCAGATTTCATTTTGCACTTCATCAATATGTTTAATTGCTTCTTGTTCTTTTTCTCCCTTGGGCAGGCCCAGCAAAGGCAACACATCCTTGGATTTGGGTGCTGAAGACTGTCTGGGCTTCTTGGAGGGGTGAGCAAAGACTTGCACTTGGGGGCCATAACATGACAGAAGTCCCAGCACGGGGATCCTCTTGGGAGATAGGAAGCAACTCAGGAACGTAAAATGAAATTTTTAAAAACACCTTAAAGTAATTATGCAATAACCAAAAACCAAATACCCCTGATTAAAAAAGGGCAAAGAACTTAAATAGACATTTCTCTAAAGAATATAATACAAATGGCCAAAAAAGCATCTGAATAGATATTCAGCCTAACAGATTATCAGGGCAATGAAAATCAAAACCACAATGAGGTATCATATCACACCCATTATAATAGCTATCACCAGAGAGAGAGAAGGAAAGGGTGGAGGGTGAGAAGAGGGAGGAAATAATAAGTGTTGGTAAGGATGTAGCAGAACTGGAACCCTTGTACACTGTAGGGAGAAACGTAGAATGGTATAGCTGCTATGGGAAATGGTATGGTTGTTCCTCAAAAAATTAAAAATAGCATTATTATATAATCCAGAAATGCTATTTCTAGGTGTAGTTTTGACTTATATCTAGATGTCCCCCCCAAAGTCTCACATGCTCATAGGTGGAACTTTCTGGATTTAGGGTGTGTGATACTGGGATTAAGGATGTATGTTACTAAAGTAGTCCACTGATATAAATGTGTACTAGTAAAAAATAAAAACTAAAAAAGAAAGATCTTACCACGGAAAGATGCTGTAATAGCAAATATGGTAGTTTTTCTAGATAAGCAGAGCAGGTATTGTATCTAAAAGTTGAAGACTTTTCCTTTTGGAAAATAATTGAGATGTCACATATTCTGGTACCTTTTTTTCCCAGTAAATATCAGAGTTTCAGTTGCTTTTCTCACTTTGTAGAACAAAGAATTCATTTTTCTTTCTCTGCTTGACTTTACCTACTGGCATTAATTTTGGTTTATAGAGCAACAAGGTTAAGCAACCGGTAATGTAATAGCTTAAATTGCCACAGATTTTAGAACCACATCATAGGAAATATTTTAAGTAGCCCTATAATTTGACATCTTTGCTGACAGAACAGAACTGAATAATTGAAAAATAATATTTAGGTTTTGCTTTTGTTTTTGTTTTTTTCCAGTACTGGAAATCAAACTCATGACCTTGCGCTTGCCAGGCAGGCACTGTGTCACTGAGCTAAATCCCCAGCCCCTAAAAATAATACATTTAGGCTGGGGATATATTTCAGTGGTGCAGCATATGCTTCATGAATGAGGTCCAGTCTTGACCATACAGAGAAAAAAAAGATACATTCATTATTGTAAAATACTTTTTGAACCAATTAAAAAATGTTGGGGCTAGGGATTTAGCTCAGCGGCACAGCGCCTGTGTGGCAAGCGCAAGGTTGTGAGTTCAATTCCCAGTACCGGAAATAAAAGTTCAGTGGGCTGAGGCTGTAGCTCAGTGTGAAGAGTGCTTGTATAGTATATCTGAAGTTCTTGGCTTCATCACCAGGACCAGAAAAAAAAAAATCAAGAGAATTAAGTTCACTTGTAGGTATGTATTATTGAGGTAAACTGGTATCAATAAATTGCAGTGTGTGTTGTGACATTTGACAAATGCACACCTATGAAACTATCACCAAAATAACATGGTTAGAAGGAGGAGGAGGAAGAGGGAAAGAAAGGAGGGAAGAGGAAAAGGAGAAGAGAGAAGCAGAAATGGGGGAGATGGAGAAGAGGAAGAAGAAAAAAGAGGAAGAAAGGAAGGAATGCATATGCTGTGCTTCTTATTGGATAGTGTTGCCCACATTCAGAAAGAGTCTCCCATTCTTTCCCCTCAGTTTGCTCTTCCACACGGCCATCTTCTCTGGAAAAACCCTCACAGGCACACCTCAACATGTGCTTTACAAATTTCTTAGGCATTGTCCAGTTCAAACAAGTTGATAGTCAATATTAACCATCACACCCATTATTAATTCTGTTGGAGTTTTTTTAGTTTTCCCTAGGTTGGAAGAACCTCTTTGTCTAGTAGATTCCTCAAAAAGAGAACATGTGTACAGTATTCCTGAGCCTTTGCACATTCTATTCTCTGTATAGCCTTGAAACTTCAAAGAGTTTTGAGAACATGACACTGTTTGCTGATACTTCTATTCTTTAACTGCTGGAAAATGCAATTATGTTTATGCCTTGCTCTGTGGTTTTTTTTTTTTTTTTTTTTTTGGTCTTTTTGAGACAGGGTCTCACTATATAGTTCAGGCTGGACTTGAACTCACTTTGTAGCCGAGGCTGGTCTCGAACTCGCAATGATCCTCCTGCCTCAGCCTCCCGAGTGCTGGGATTACAGTTGTGTGCCACCACGCCCAGTTCTGTGTGTTGTTTTGGAGAAGTTTGAAGGAATTCCAACTGCCAGTTTACTGTTCTGAATCTACTGAAATGGTGTACAGTTTTGGTATGTAGAATCAAGTTTTCTTTTATTTGAGACACTTTAAAAGTATGGTGTACACTTTCCAACATTTATTTTCTTGCAACGTTTTTATTTTTTTTTAAAGACTTCAATTATACCTATCTTGGATTACATTCATTTGTGTTCCTATGCAAACACTGCACTCTCATTTTCTTTTTCTTTTTTTTTTTTTTGGTACCAGACATCAAACTCAGGACCTTGAGCTTGCCAGGCAGGTGCTGTGCTGCTGAGCTGTATCCCCAGCCTCTCATTTTTTTAAGTGCCTTTAAAAATAAAAGCTGTATGGTTTTACTTCTTTTATGTAAAAAGAAAAACAAAAGCAAGTAACATGGTTAATATACTTAGCATCTCTTGAGGCCAGGGACATAGCTCAGTGGCACAGCGCTTGCCTGGCAAGCATGAGGTTGTGAGTTCAATTCCTGGTACTATAAATAAATAAACAAACAAACATACTTAGCATCTCTAAAACTTCCTTCCTGACCTTCTGTAATCCCACCTCTCTTTCCCCATTATCTTTTGTCCTGTTTTTTTTCACTGTCAGTTTTTGTTTCTAAAGTTTCGTGTGGAAGGAATTATACATTATGTACTTTTTGTGCAGAGGAGAGTCTGGCTTCTTTCATTCAGCGTAAGTTTGAAACTGATTCCGATTATTGTGTATCTGAAAAGTTCCCTCTGTAGGTTGGGGATGTAGTTAAGTGGTACAGTATGTGCTTAGCTTGCATATGTTCAATTCCCAGAAGTGCAAAAGATAAAATTTAAACATAGTGATACCTCAGTTCATGAGCTTAATTTGTTTCACAATTCTGGGAAAGAAGGCCATGTTCATGTTTGTATGGGAAAGATGACCACAGTCATGTTCCCTGCCAATGCAGAGCTCCCAAACAAAAACAGAATTTTGCCAAATGCTTGTTGGCAAACCAACTGTTCACAAACAGAAGCACTCATGAGCCAAGGTGCCACTGTAGTTGTTATTTTTTTACTGCTGAATTATGCCATTATGTGGCTAGATATAACCATTTACCTGTTGAGGAGAAGTTAGGTTATTTACAGTTTTTGCTTATTAGAATAAATCACTTATGTATAAGAAAAAATCCTTTTATAAGTCTAGCTTTTTCTGTTACCTTTCTGTGTCATCTCCGACATCCTGTGATTCTCTGGTCCAAAGCAAACCGCTATCTTCTTTATTGCTGTCAGTTTCTTGTTGTTCCAAATGCTTTGGATCTAAAAATGGTTGAAAAAAGTAATTATTAGAATGAAAAACATTACTGGGTGTGGTGGTGTATGCCTGTAATCTTAGCACTTGGGAGGCTGAAGGATCACCACAATTTCGAGGCTAGCCTGGGCTACATAGTGAGTTCAAGGTCAGCCTGGATTAGTATGACCCTGTCTCAAAAAACAAAACAAAAAACTCCCAACAAACAAACAATGAAAAAAGTTGAGAAAGCCTGATTTACACTGTGGAGTATAGGGCTAGGGATATAGCTCAGTGGTGCAGTGCCTGCCTGGGAAGTGCAAGGAACCGAGTTTGATTCCCAGTACCAAAACAAAACAAAAACAGAAATGCAGTACAAAAAATAGGGCCATCAGTGGTCTCTGAAATATGCAATACACTAGTTCCCTTCTTCCCGTGACATTAGGGGGTCAGGTGGCAGTCTGCAGACACCTGTATTCACGGCAGCTGCGTCTGAGGTCTTGGGAGCTCTTTGGCGCCAGACGAAGCTGCAGGAAACTCAGCCCGAGCCAAGGTTCAGAGAGACAGAGGAAAACAGAGGAAAGAAAGGGCATACAAAAGAGGAGGCAAGAACTACTGAAAATAAACTACATACATTTACTTTGGGGGACCATCCTGTTTTCCCTCTTAAGTGTTTCTAAGTTGGAGCCCCAGGGAAGGAATTTGCATGAGGAAAAGAGGTACCTATAATATATCCCAAGCAGTTTATGTATGCCGTTTCATTTCATACAGCAGGTCTATATAGGGAGGGAGACTAATCTGTTAAGTATTTTAGCAAATTAATACTAACATTAATATTAATTTGCTAATTATTTTACAATGTACCAGGCACTGTTCATGGAGATATGAGATAGGACATTATGAGAGGGGACTTATTATCTCCATGTTACAGATAAGAAGGACTAAGGTTCAGAGACATTATGCACTTTGCCATATAAAAGCAACTGATGCAGCCTCGACTAGTGAGACCCTGCATAGTGAGACCCTGTCTGAAAACATTTCTCTCCCCCCATAAAAGTAACTGTGGAGTCAGAATTGAGGTGAGGCTGTACCTGACCTCAAGGTCACACTTGCCCTATGTACCACCATGCTGCCAAGGACAGCGTTACAGCAAGGGCGCGATGGAACAGGTCCGGGCGTAGCTCACCATCTGCAGTGATGCCGGGATGACGCGCTGTGTTCTCCTGCAACACCAAGGATGCGGCCTGCTGCTGCTTCAGTTGCTCTGTCACAGTACAGAAGCAGAAGGCAACTTATTCCTCTGCATGTCACACCAGTCCCTAGGGCAGTGCTTCTCAAAGAGTGTTCCTCAGCCCAGCACCACCGGCATGGCACAGGTAACCCAGGAACTTTTTAGAAATGCAAATTCTTTTTTTTTTTTTTTTGTCTTTTTGAGACAGGGTTTTACTATGGAGTTCAGGTTGGCCTTGAACTTACTTTGTAGCCCAGGCTGGCCTTGAACTCCCAGCAATCCTGCCTCAGCCTCCTGAGTGCTGGGATTATAGGCATGCACCACCACACGCAGCACTCAGAAATGCAAATTAGTTTTTAAAAAAATTTTAAATTTTTGAGGCAGCGTTTCCCAAAATATTTCAGGCTGGCCTTGCACTCATAGCATGCTCCTGCCTCAGCCTCCCAAGTGCTGGGATGACAGGCGTGTGCCACCATGCCCGGCCAGGAATTCTGAGTTTAAAAGAAACTCTTCAAGTAAGACAAAAATCCCAAACATTTATGAAAGAAAAATGATAGAGAATGATAATGAAAACACTTATGTGGCATATAGTGTGTTTAAGCACTTATATACATTAATTTAGGATTACTGTTCACAATTAATTTCCACAATAGCCCTATGAAATTGACTGCATTACTGTTACTCCTGTTTCATATATGAGGAAATGAAGGTTAGAAACTTGGCTAAAATCACATAGAGAGTAAATGGGAGCATTGGGATTTGAATCCAAGCAAACTAGTCCTAAACTTTATGCTCCTAATCTCTATTTTTTTTATTTTTCTTTTTGAGACAGCATCTTGCTATGCAGTTCAGGCTGACCTTGAATTCAAGAGGCAATAAAAATTCCTTCAGTAAAACAAATTTATCATAATAAGCCACCTAAAATGTTGTTAATTCAACTTCATTGTCATGAGCCCTTTAGGTAACTAAATGACAAAAGACTGAAGGCCTATCATCCCAGCTGGGCAGTGCCTCGTTTTATTGGAAAATTTTTCCTTCTTAAATTTTATAAAAACCAGACCATTGTAGGGTCTTTTACACCAGTGCTCACACCTCAGACAAAGAAATTGTATGGTGAGGCTGGGGAATGCAACTCAGTGGTATAGCACTTGCCTAGCTAGAGGGAGGGTCTGGGTTCCATTTCTAGCACTGAAACACACACACACAAACAACACCACCACCACAACAACCATCTGGTAGTGAGTGACCATAACCAACAGGGGCAGGAGTGTATTCTGTATTGTATGGAACATCCATTACCGATTTCTTCAAGCAGTTCCTGAGATGGTGGTGGTAGCTCCTCAATTTGATGCTGTGAGACGGCTTCCATTAATTCTTTAAGAAGGTAATTGGGGAAATGATTTAATACTTTTCAGGACCTGAACTGGATTTTTCTAGGTTCTCCATGAACTTCACAGAGGATTTCTCAATGATGGAATAAACTAAGGGGGAAGGAAGTTCTTACATAACAGTCTTCCTAGTAACCTCCTAATATGTGAATGGCCTTTATTCCCTCCGTTCATCTTACTTACCCCACTATACTTGGTCTCTGCCCTTCCTAAGGATATTTGGGTAGGGAAGGTACAAATTGTTACTAAGAGGGTGTATCCACTTTGGATCAGGGTTGTTAGAGGAATATAGAGGTTCCGGCCAAATAGAACAAAAACACAAACTGGAAAACCTCTATCTATAGAGTATCAGGCCACGGGATACAGGCACAACTATACTTTGGGTCTTGCCCTGAGTGTTCAGTTATACTATAACTAAAACCCCTTCAGAGTAACTCTTAGGGCTGGGCATGGAGATGCACGCTGAGGAAGGAGGATTCCTATGAGTTTGGACCCAGCCTGGGTTATGTAGTGAGTTCAAGGCCAGCCTGAACTACATAGCAAGATCCTGTCTCAAAAAAAACAAACAAACAGTTCAGGACTGATATGCAACATGATACCAACTATACTAAACATTTTTAGATACTTTCAAAATTATGAAAAATAAGCAAGAAAATATACATAAGGTAAAAAAAAAGGACTAAATGATAACTTTCTTCTTTAGCCTCCAAGTATTCTATGAGTGTGCTTTACTTTTATAAGCAGAAGGAAAACAGCAAATCTGTTTGAACTGAACACAGCAACAGTGGAGATTATGGAGCATCAGTTTAGGCCCCTTAAACTGGCCTACTGGGGGCTGGGGATTTAGCTCAGTGGCATAGCACTTGTGTGGCAAGCGCGATGTCATGAGTTCAATTCCCGGTACCGGAAAAAAAAAAAAGAAACAAAACCAAAACTGGCCTACTGGTATGAAGTTCTATTTTAAACATGGGCATCTTTGGGCATGCTCTTTGAGTGACGTGCGTCAATGAATCAAATGTTTTTTTTTTTTTTTTTGGTACCATGAATTGAACTCATGACCTCAGGCTTGCCTGGCAAGCACTTATGCCGCTGAGCTATATCCCCGGCCCCTCAAACACTTATTGCAGGGCATAAGAACTACATATGTTTAAGTACAGGGTACTATCTTAAGTGGCAAACTCGAGAGGATCCAATGCTTCCGTACTAAATTCAGTAGTGCTTAGAGTACAGAGTAGACTCTGCATTTACATGTCTCTACCACTGCAGTCCTAGCCAAAACCTCCTAACAGCTACTGCATCATCACCATCACTCCTACATGGCCTCCCATGGGACTGTCCCCTCCAACTTTGGTTTGAAGTTGCTCTGGTAGAAAACTCATCAGGTGTGATCTCTGGTCTAGCTCCTGAGAGCCAGAGGGCTCCTGAGGGCCAGAGGACAGGGGCTCCGAGTTTCTCTCCCCAAATACTTCTCCTCACTATGCATGATTACCTGGGCTGAGCGGAGTGCTCACACTAGTAGGTGCGTGGCTTACTTTGGGTGTTTTGCATAAGGTTTCCTTAAAAGAGCCATCAGGTTCATAGGAGATACTAGACAGATCTTGAATGTCTGTCAATGATCTAAGTAATTAAAAATACACAGTAATTACGAAAAGTTTAGAAAAATTGAGTATCTTCCTAAAAGGAACTTTTAAACTATACTTTTCAAAAAATCTTTTTGGCAATAGGTCAAAATTAGAGTACATCTTAGAATATCATAAAGAGAATATTAGAAAATATCTTAAAAAGAGATACTAAGTATATATATATCTTGACAGCTAAAAGGAAACTATTTCCATAGGTTAAAAGATATTTATGTAGAAAATGTATTATCACTGTAGTTCCTTGATTATAAGAAGCTATTATTTATAAATAACATCATCAATTAATAGTTTTTTGGTGAAAGAAGAAACACTCCTATTAAGCCTATACATAAAAATGAAAAGAATACCAATTCTTAACAAAGAAATACTATCTCCATAAAAGCAAGCCTTTACACATGCGTTCTTAGACTACTCTTTGGTGGCCTTACATGTCTTTTTCTTTCAGTTCCTTTGGTGGCTCCTTTAATGTCTCTTCTTGTTCACATTCAGTACTGTGAGAGAGAAAGTACAAAAAATACTTTGTCAGCGCAGTGTACAAAGTTGATACAGGGAACCAGTTTATTAGGCCAGTGTGAGTGGGGAAGACACTAACCTCCGAAGTGGAAAGTGTAGGTTCTAGTTTTGGCTCTGCTGCTAACTAGACACTAGTTTTTTTCTTTTTCTTTTCTTTTTTTTTTTTTTTTTTTTTTTTTTTTTTTTTTTTGCCGTGTCTGGGTTTCAAATCTTCTCTGGAGATTGAATAAATACTCTCTAATGGTCAGCCTAGCCCTAACATCAGCCAATGACTCTGACAGTGAGCAAGTTCCTAAGAAAATCAGTGGGGCACAGGATCTTCACTGGAGATAGATGCTGGAGTGAGGGGCACAGCCATGAGGCTTTAGCAACTGTGAGACGGCTTCCTGGTGTAGAGTACCAGTAAAGGCCAAGGGAGGTTTGTACCGAAAAATGACGAGTAAAGAATACTGAAGAAAATTTTACCCATTTCTACTTTCAGTAATGCTGAAAATTCAAATTCAGTACTCAAGGGATGCTATGAGCCAGATCCCACGCTAAAACCTTCCATATATTTTCACAGTTTTAATCCCTACAACAATCCTGTGAAACCAATGATAAAAAGAATGAATACAGATTTGGGGTTGACTCGTGACCTATCCTTTTCATTGAAATATGTGTTTCTGTCACCAGGTGTAGTGGTGCACACCTCTAATTCCAGCACTCAGAAGGCTGAGCCAGGAGGACCTCATGAGTTCAAGGCCAGCTTAGACTACAGAAGTGAGTTCAAGGCCAGCCTGCAATACATAGTGAGACGCTGTCTCAAAAAAACAAAAAGCCCCAAAGCACAAAATAGTTGTTTCTCCTTCAAAGTTTATAGCTTACTTAGTTTTTGGTCCTGCTAATTACATCAACTGCCACATGACTTGTTTTAACCAATGAAAGTGATGCTTTCTGCCCAGAAACTTTTTTGTACGTATGTATGCATGTATGTATTTATGTATTTATTTATTTATTTGGAGACAGGGTCTCGCTATGCAGTTCAGGCTGGCCTTGAGCTCACTTTGTAGCCCAGGCTGGCCTCAAACTTGCAACGATCCTCCTGCCTCAGCCTCCTGAGTGCTGGTATTACAGGCATGCACCACTACAACCGGCTATTGCATTAACTCTTTTTTTTTTTTTGGTACCAGAAATCAAACTCAGGACCCTGCACTTGCCAGGTAGGCGCTCGTGCTGCTGAGCTATATCCCCAGCTGCAGAGAAACATTAAAAGCCAGTGCACAGGCCAATAGGTCCCTTTGTTTTTTCCTGCCCAGCAATCAAGGAAGCCCAAAGATGGGTCTTATCTTATCCTGTATCTATGATAGAATATAGTACAGAACATCCTAAGCAAACCAGGAGCTATATACAGGGGCCATGATCAAGAAATAAACATTTAGCTAGGTGTTCTGGCCACACACCTGCAATCCCAGCTAACTGGGCAGCTGAGGCAAGAGGATGGAAATATCAGTCACAGTCCCAGCAATTTAGTGATTTATCAAGACCCTTTCTAAAAATAAAAATATTAAAAAGGGATGGGAATGTGGGTTCAATTCCCAGTGCTGAAAAAAAGAGAAAGAAAGAAGGAGAAAGAGTAAAAATTTTGTTGTTTTAAAACATTAAAATTTGAAGTTTTGGGTTATCCATTATACATTCTAACCTAAATAGCTATACAACCTTTAGAAAAAGTATGTAGACTCTCTGAACTTTACTTTTTTAATTGGCAAAATGGTGATAACTGTACATATCTCAGATGGCTGTGACATGGAGTAGACAATATATATAGTGGCTGGCATATGGTAGATACTGAAGAATACTAGCTATAACTTTTTTTTTTTTGTAGTACTGGGGATTGAACTCAGGACCTTGTGCATGCTGGGCAAGCACTCTACCACTGAGTTACATCCCCAGCCCAGTTATAATTATTATACTCAAGGAAACTCAGGCTCAGGAAGGAGAAAGTAACTGAATGTTACTGTGCAAGATATTTTACATCTGTTATTTGTAATTAAACTTTTGAGATAACTGTGGGGATTCACATGTAGTTACAAAAAAAAAGTACAGTTTACCCAGTTTCTTCCCATAGTCACATCTTCCAATTTTTTTTTTGGTACTGGGAATCGAACTCATGACCTCATGCTAACCAGGCAGGTGCTGTGTGCTGAGCTACATCCCTGGCTCCATCTTCCAAATCTGAACAGCATCACCACCAGGATATTCACACTGATGACAGACAAGACTCAGAACATTTCCTCTAGTTCAAGATTCCTTATATTGATCATTTATGGCCAGCCTACACTTTAACTGTTCTGTATTTTTATAATTTTATCATTTTCAAGAATGTTATGAAAAAAGACGGGTGGAGTATACCTCAGTGGCACAAGCGCCTGCCTGGCAAGCGCGAGGTCCTGAGTTCAATTCCCAGTACCAAAAAAAAAAAAAAAAAAATGAATGTTACATAAATGGAATCATACAGTAAGTAAGTTTTGGGGGTTTCGTTCTCCACTAAACATAATTCTCTGGAGATTTATCCAGGTTGTAATAAGTATCAATAGTTCCTTCCTTTTTGCTTCTTAGTGGTGCCAGATGTACCACAGTTTGTTTAATCATTCATATGGTGAAGGCATCTGGGGCTTTTGTTTGGGACTATTACAGATAAATTCACTATAAATACCATGTATGTGGTTTTGTGTGAATGTTAAGTCTTCCTTTTTCTGAAATATGTGTCCCGAAGTTACATTATTACTTTTAATTTCTTTGTAAAATTTCTCAGTAAGTGTTCTTATTTTACAGAGGGGGAAGCAGAATAGAGGGCAAACACCTATGACAAAGATCACATGGATGGAATGTCAAACTCAGGACCTTGGGCGAGGGATATACCTCAGTGGCACAGCACCTGCCTGGTAAGTGCAAGATCCTAAGTTTGATTCCAGGTACCAAAAAACAAAGTTAGGACCTCAATCAGACAATGACTTCTTGTTACTCCTCATCAAATTCTGCTAAAGAAGTCGTAACAGTTAGGTTCCTAAAGTTAATTTTTGAAAAGATAGTGGCTAGGACTGGGGATATAGCTTAGCGGCATAAGCACCTGCCTGGCAAGCACAAGGTCCTGAGTTTGATTCCTGGTACCAAAATAAATAAATAAAATGAAAAGACAGTGGCTAATATGTTTGAAGATGATCAATATATAAAATGTGGCATTCTCTCATCTAACATGTCTTCTGAGTGTGAAACTGTGTATAAAATGTTAAAAGTCCATACCTTTGCATAGCTTGGAACCTGGTAAAAATCTCAGCGTTCTTTCTGAAGACTGTTTTCATTTGGAACTTTTCCTCACCTGAAATAAAGAAAATTCTTTTGCTGAATTTTTCTTAAGCCAGATTATCATTTCTATCCCCTAGAACAGCAGTGGCAAACCCATGGTACATGTGCTCTAAAAGGCTCACCAGCACTGCCCTAGGATTTTCCTTGGTCTGGTTTAGAATGATATATAATCTAGATTAGAAAGTGCTTCCCTAATTGGATTTTCTTTTTTGTATTTTTGAGACCGGGTCTTGCTATGCAGTTCAGGTTGACCTTCAGCTCACTTTCTAGTCCAGGTTGGTCTTGAACTTGCAACAAACCCCTTGCCTCTGTTTCCCAAGTGCTGGGATTATAGGTGGGTGCCACCATGCTCGGGTCCTAATTGTCTTTTTTTTTTTTTTTTTTTGGTACTGGGAATCAAACTCAGGACCTTACACTTGCCAGTCAGGTGCTTATGCCACTAAGCTATATTCCCGGCCCTCCAGCTCCTAACTGGATTTGGACTGAATGCTCTGGAGGAGGTTTTGCTCTGAAAGTTTATTTCCCTTCCTCGGAGGACAGGACTATATCCTGACACTCACAATACAATCAAGTCATTCACTAGACCTTCAGTTACAGCCACAGTTATTTCTGGAAACAAATGTTGCTTTGTCTTTTCAAGAAGGCAAACTGACCCAATTT